TTATAAAAGTGAAATAATTTATATAAAAGTAAAATAACTAATTATAAAAGTAAAATAACTTATATAAAAGTGAAAAGTAAAATTTTGAAAAAGTGAAAAATTAAAAAGTGAAATAACCAAAAGTGAAATAATATATATAAAAGTAAAAAATAAAAAGTGAAAAAGTAAAATAATAAAAGTGAAAAAAATGAAAAGTAAAATAATAAAAGTAAAATAATATATGTAAAAGTAAAAAATAAAAAGTGAAATAACTAAAAAATGAAAAGTAAAATAATAAAAGTGAAATAATAAAAGTGAAATAATATATATAAAAGTGAAAAATAAAAAGTAAAAAATTGAAAAAGTGAAAAATTGAAAAAGTGAAATAATATTAAAAGATTTTATTTTTATATAAATATTTTTAGAATTTTCATGTTTTTTGATTATTTTTGAATTTGTAATTTTTATGTTACTACTGTAATAATAACATATATCTTAGTTTAGAAAAATAAATTTCTTATATTATATTTTAATTTTCTATTCATTTTTAATCTTTTATCAATTTAATTAATTAAACAATTATTTTTTTGATTATAATTATCTTTTGACAAAATTTTCTTAGAAACAAGTTATATTATAAGTCTTGAGTTAGAGTTTTTCAGTCAAGCATTAATTATTTTTTTTCTTTTTTATTTGTATTCTTTTATTTTTAAAATTTCTTGTCTATAACAAGTGATATTTTCTATTTAACATAATTAATCTCTTATTACTATACTATAAATTAGTTAATATTATCTAGAAATATAATAAAAAGAAAATATTTTTATTAAAAAGTTAATTAATAAAAAAGATTACTTAATAATAAATTATTTGAATCAAAAGAAGATTTCTGAACTTGTTCTAGCTGTTTAACAAAATAAACACTTTGTTACTTATCTTTAGTAAACTAGTCTTTCCCAATTTTAATTATTTAAAATATGTAAAAATCTTTAATTAAATATAATAACTCTTCTATCTAATCAAAATATATAAAGAATATATGATCTATATCTGAAAGATTATAAAACCAATAAAAATAGTAACAATATAAATTATATGCATTAAGTCAATTCAGATAATTATAATTATTTGAATTGACTTAAGTTTTAATTTACTATATAACTTTAATGATTCTTCATATATAAAAAAATTAAAAAAAATAAAAATCAAGATATAGTTAAATTTCTCTTTAATTATCACTTTTGAAAAAAACAAAATTTAATGATTATAAAGAAAATGTAAGTATAAAAAAATTTTTTTCTATATTTATATATAAATAAAAATGTAAAACAAATTGATTATAGAGAAGTATAATTATAAATAAATATAAATATAGAGAAATTTGATTGTAATTAAAAGTTTAAATACTTGAATATTTTTTTATTAATTGTAAATTTAGCTAATAAATATAAATAAAAATTGGAAGAGAAAATTAAACAAAAACAAAAATTATATTTAAGTTTTATATCAATTTTTACTGAAATTATAAATTGAATAAAATATATGAAAATAAATAAAGTTTTAATTATTAACAAATAATATTTTGATTTTTTATACTAATATTATATATTTTAAAACTAAATAAATAGTATTATCAAAAATAACAAAGATTTTTTTACTTTGTTCTTTTTATAAATAAGAAATAATAAGTAAGAAATATCAATAATTTAAATATAATAAAATATTAAATAATATGTTATAACAAAAATATTAATTTAATAATTTCAATAATAATATTTTAATAAGTTCAATATAATTCAAAGTTACTTGCATACAAGTTTTAAAATATATATTTAAAAGCAAAAAGTAAAATACTTAAGTATTAAAGTTATTTGTTTTATTATATTATTATTTTTCAGGTTTTAACATGTTGAGTTGAATTTTAGTTATATTTTGTATTTATATATTTTTAAAAATAATAATTTAAAAATAAAATATAAATATATTAATTAAACTTATTAAATATAAAAAAAAGAAAAATAAAGAGAAAAATAAATAAATAAGTAAATATATATATATAATATTACAAGTTTTTTTAAGAAGTTTAATACTAAGTTAATATAAATAATACTATATTAAAATGATTAACTTATTATAATATAAATTTATTAACTAATAAATATATTATTATAGTAAAATTTATTATTTCTTAAAAATAATTACAAAATTATATAATATTTTTAATATAAATAATTATTAAAATATAGTTATTTTTTAAATTAATTTTTATATAATATAATATAATTTTTAATTTTAATAATAAACTATTATTTTTATAATATTTTTCAATATATAATCAAACTTCTTTATAGTTATCATCTTTGAAAAAGCAAAATTTGCTAACTATAGAGAGAATGTGACTATAAAGAGATTTTTTTACTATATTTATATATAAATGGGAAAGCAAAATAAAGTAAATATAGAGAGATGTGACTATAAATCGATGTAACTATATAGATATTTAATTATATTTTTAATAATAATAATTTAAAAGTACAAAGTAATAAAGTACTTTTTTTATAATTATAAAACCAGTTATATTTATATTTAATAATTTTTATTAATAAATATTATATTTATAAATAATTATATATTTTTATAAATAATTTTTATAATGTGAAAAATCTTTAATAATATAAATGATTTATATAAATTATACAAATTATATAAATTTTATAAATTATAAAAATTAAAATAATAAATTATATATATAATTATATATTTAAATTATATATAAAATTATATAATTTTAATTTGTTCAATAAATAATAAATAATTAAGTAAATAAATTAGATAAATAAATATATATAAAATAAATATAAAAATAATTAAAAAAATATTTTAATTATTTATATAATTTATATAATTTGTCATAAATTATAGAATTAATAAATTATATATTATAAGTATAATATATTTGTTTGTTCATTTAAATTTTATAAATATTATTTGCTATAAATACTATATAAAAATATTTTTTTCTTAAAAATATATTATTAAAATATATAATTATATATATATATTTAAGTTAATTAATTTTTTATTATTAGTATTTTTGATAGAATAGTAAATAATTATAAAAATAATAATTAATATTTAATATATATATAAATATTTAGATTATCTTAAAGAATCTTTAAATAATTTAATTATAAACTTTTAAGTTTTTGTTCTCAAATATTGCTATTTTAATATTAAACATATTCTAAAAAATAATTAATATTAAATAAGCTTTTGTTAGTAAGTTTAATATTATTATATTATTATATATAATTTATAATAAATTTTGTAAATATAAAAACTTTATAAAGCTTATATAATATTTATTAAATTAAGTATATAATAATTAAAATTTTATATTAGTATTTTTATTAAATTATTTTATAAGCTAATTATTTTTAAATTTATTATAAAAACAAAATATAAGCTAGTTTTTTATTTACTATAATAACAGCTTGAACTCTTTGTAATAGAAATTTAATTAATTTTGATAATAATTCTTTAATATTATATTCAATTTCTCTTTTTTAATTTATCTTTCTAATTAAAAGTTATATATTATATTAATAAATTTTAACTTAAATAAATAATCAAATATTTTTGATAAGTTAAGATTAGAACTTTGGATCAGCCAAAAAAATAGCTCTATTTTGAAAAGATAAGAAAGGAATATGCAATTCTTGTAATGTAAATAGATGTATTAACCTCTTAAAAAAGAAGATTTTAATTTTTTGGCATGTGTCTTAACTATAAAATTAGTATAATTTCTAAGAATTTCACAATGAATAGTAATAGTGATATGAGTTACTAATAGAACTAGCAAATCCAAACCAATCCAAGAATAAATATCTCCAAAACATGCAATTTGTACTATGTCTAACTGTAAACATAATGCAATCTTCATGAATTCTTCTGAAGATTCTTTGAAAACACACTCAAAACCTGAAGTTTAAAATTAAGTATAGATAAACTTATTTGATCAAACAATAATTTTAAAGTCTTTTGCTATCCAGTATTCATAAACAATTGCCAAAATAAATATTTGGTTTTATTAATTTCAAAACTTAGTGGCTTATAATGTAAAATACAAGAGTGAATTTTTCTTAGCTAATTCTTTATGAATAATTCATATAAAAATATTGTATTATTGTTTATAAAGTTTAAATATATTTGAGTAAAGATTTGTTAATGAGTATTTTTGTTTTGAATTATTGAAAATTCAAGTTATTTACGTTCGAATTCATTAAGAATTCGTAGACAATTTGTTAAGATTCTTGGAACTCATGTGTTGCCAATACTTGTAATACTAAAGAATGAGAATAACCTATAAATCTCACCAAGCATATGTCCAAGTTCTTTGCTGTAATAATACCTTTTTGACCATTTATTAATCCTTTTTCACGACACAATGATGTGTGGTAAATTTTACAAGGTAATTTATGTAATGATAGATCATGTGTGATCTTGTGATTCGCAAACTTTTACATATTAATACATGTATCAATATAGTGGTGACCTATTACTTTGATCACAACAAATCACATTTTCATATGATAAAAACAATCGTCAGAATTTGGCAATATTACAGATTGTGTACCAAGTGTCCAATACTTTTTCCACTCTGTATTTCTATAACATTTCTTCAACATTGATGAGGATAATGAATGAGAAATTTCTGAATTCAAAGAGAAAGTTTTTTTGAAATCACGTGCTCCTATTAGGATTGTTGACAAAATTATTTGATGAATAATTGATGTCTGCATATCTAGCTTGCTTACAAAGATGTTGAGATTGATATCACTTGATATGATATTATTCGTCCTTTATTATTCAATTACATATCTGATAAAATAGAGTAGCATCTTTTGATCACTTCAACAACTACTTTGAATCGAAAATTTCAATAATCATTAAATACGTAGCTAAAGTACAATTCAATCAATTACCATGTCAAACATTTATTATAGACAAATAAAGATATGTTATCTTTGTTGCTCTCGCACAAAAATTTCGTTCAAATCAATCTCAGAAATTTGAGATGGAGCAACACGGACAAGAGGAAAAGAATTTGGAAGACTGCTCTCGGATCCACCATTTTCCAAATTATTTCTCGCGTTGTTGATGTTATCAATCTGAGACGGATTCACAGGGTTGGTTGAATGGCAAAGAGAAGCGAACCCGTAAAGTGAGTTTCGACGTGATTCTTTGTGATGACGATGATCATGATTGTTCGAGTAAAAAGTGTAAGAATGATTGTGATTTTGATGTAAAATCAAATTTGATCGTGAAGAAGAAATTACGGTGGTTTGAGTGTTTTTCATTAGAAATAGTTGCGTGAAAATACTACGATTGCTTCCTGGTGGAAATTGGATTTCGAAGAAACTACAAATATTATTAATAACATATACATAAAAAGCCTGAAACGATCATTCAAAGAGTTAATTCGATTGATTTATGAATTACTTGTATAATATGATTAGTTGGCCGAATTGTGCAAAAACCAATCCTTGGAAGATCGCAAATGCGTTTAGCAAGATATAGAATCTTTTAGTTCCTTCGAGAAACGTGACAGTCAAATTCAATATGATTTTCGAGATATAAAGAATCGTGATACTCGCGACAACCATTGTCAACTTAGAAAACAAATCGATAAATAATAAGAAGCAAAACAAATGAAACATTTCAACTGATTTTTCACTCACATGTCTTGAAAGAAATCTAACGCGATGTAACTTCCAATCATGACCTGGATCCGCTCGATGCTTCAAAATGGTGACATACTTTTTCAACACCGAATATATCTTGAACCAAAACGAAATCAACAATACAAGAAAAATTACGGTCCAAAAGATCCACAAGATACAAATCAAAGTTCTCATGTTTTCTACGGCATTGTAATTTCCATCTATTATATAACCTCCTTGAAACCATGATGATGGAAATATTGTGAGAGCCGGGCCAAGAAGGAGAAAGAACCCGACCGAGTCGATGATGTGACGATTGAGAAGAAGTGTGTTTTTGTGATTAAAGTTATGATCGATACTCGATAAAGAGTATACTGTAAAAAAATTTATTGAGTATTTTTTTATTCGATTAAGTAATTAATCGGAAAAGACTAATTACCAAGACCTATGGGATAAAGTGTCAATGCTGAATAGCCGACGACGTGAGGTAAATGTGATCCAACTATAAAATTATAATAAACACAATTTGTTATCCCAATAAAAAGTATAATATCACATTATATACCTAATGCCCACTTAATGTCAGAATAAGATTCAGTTAGCAGCAGAGTAGAATTCAATATTATCACTTGATAAACAAGAAGGCAATGGTGGTGGTGTTAATCAATTATCGGTTATCCCATTATTAATTTTCAGTAAACTCACTTAGTCCAAAAGAACTAGCAAAAATATGAAAAGCTTCTTGTGGTCTCAATCGAATGATCCTTTTTCCCCATGTCAATGGAAAATACCATGACTGATCTTTCACAAAGGTTCGATAATAGAGAAACACTAACGACGTGCACATAATCACCGTCGCATAACTTATCGCAGTTACGCAGATTATTCGCTCTGCTTGGTTGAGTTGATGATCACACTCTGGGAAAATGCATAATTGTTTGGTTTGGTTGCTATAAGAGGTGATATTTGAGAAGGAATTGTTTTCTTCGATTAATGATGAAATGGTCATAGTGGAATATATGTGGGTACGAAAGACAAGAACAAATGACGATTAGTTAATGAATTAATTGTTAACTTTGAATATTTAAAAGAAGAAAATAATAGACATTAAAAAGTTAGATATATCCCAAAAAGTGATATGATATGATGTTATATAGCATGATAAAAAGGAAGTACGTACAATGTCAACTAACTAGAGAAAGAATGATTGTTAGAATGACAAAAGAAAATAAATCAAGACGTATACGTAAACGAAAATAAAGCGCAGGAAATTCGGTTATATTGTAATTAGAGATTCAGGAGGTTAGTTTATGAGGACGCAAACGTTGAAAGCTGTCTTATATGGACCCTGCATCTTTTGTTTTTCTATTTCTTCGAATAATAATTTTTTAATTACGCGCGAAAAAAAGATTTTCACTACGGTACGGTATATATTGTGTTTACATTTTGTTTGTATTGTGTAATTGAAAAAATATCCATATCAAGAATTTTCATTTGGATGAAGGAGGGGACGGAATAAACTCACAAGTTACTTTCATTTGTAGCGAAAAATCAGAATATTTTTTATATTTCAATACATATACATGTATCTCGATATTACGGATGTGCTACGTAATCAATAATTAACATTAAGGAGATACGTACCGTAATTATCAAACAAACAAACATGCAAAAATTTATGCTTGATTGTTCATACGTACATGTATATCAATTATGCAATGAAAATTTTTTGTTTTGGATCACAAATAGAACATTGCTTCGGTGGTTGGAATTCTTTTAACAAGAATCAACATTTATTGATTAATCCAAGGAGAACGGTGTCGAACCACGAAATTTCAAAAGGGTAGAAACAGTTAAATTATAATAACATGTACGTATACACTCAGACCTCCATATAGTCACCTCCTCCCATATAATCACAAAATCAATATAGCCACATTTTTTCGGTTCCTGACTTCTTTATAATCACAGTCTTTCATGTCCCGAGGGTGTGATTATAGGGAGGTCTGACTGAACTTGTAACGAAAACAAAGTTTTCATTCATTAATAACAAATAAATTTAATAAGAAATAAGAACAATACGCAATAAATTTCAACAAAGACCACCAATATAAATTGGTGTGACGCCAAGTAAAGGGGATAGGAACTCTACAAACTCCTGTGTCTCACCATTATTTGATGATAGTTTCGCATTATATTTTAGAGAATTGATGCAATCATTCCATAAAAATGAAAAAATCTTAGCTTATCGTTATCAAATTAACGAAACAAAAAATAATATTAAATCTACCGGATTTGGTTACCTAAAAACAAAAGACAACAGAAAAAAGTTTCAATAAACTCAAAATTCCATACCGTCGTCGTCGTTTACTTTAGGTTGTCGATCCGAATTTGATGAAAAGTCGCATGAACTAACACTAATATTAAAAGCAATCTTTCTTTCTACCGCTACATTTAATAAGATTGGTAAAGCCTTTTGTGAACAATTACACCTGGCATATTCTGATATACTTCTTGAAAGTTTCGTCATTGCTACCTTTCGACAACCCGGAGCATTTATTATTATCGCCTAAATAGCGTAATTAAACATCAAATAAAAATAATCATTAGATTGTGCATTTTGATATGCATTTTTTGGCTTTCGTAAAAAGTATCTGAAATTTCTATTGAAATGTTAATTTAAATATAAAATGTTAATTTAAATATAAAACTTCTGGATTTTGGATTAGATTGAGAATCTTGTGTCCAATTTGAGGATATTATCGTTATGATTTTAACGTTAACGTTAATCGGAAGATCAAGAGCCGACGACGTTGCTGTTGGACACCGGTAACTCAGAAATGTAATTAATTTAAGCTGGAAAGAATTAGCTTCCAAAGTATCGGAATTCATTTATCACATAGGTTTAAGAATTCGAGTCTACTATCGATAATTTTTGAAAAGACAATAGACACTATAAATCTTTTAATAATAGCAAAGTAAAAGAGAAACGATATTTCATTTCTCAATCAATTCGCACAGGTGCAAATTCAAGCCTGGAAATTTCTTTTTTGGAATTGATTTAGCATGTCTTATCAATTTTGCGATACTGCTGAATGATTCTTGACAAGTTGATTACCGAACAAACCAGCTCGAAGTGCACGTACTATTCAAAAATCGTGACGGCAATGATATTTACGAGAAAACTAATGGATATTCATTATTCGGATCTTTTATAAATTTTCGTTTTATTGTATAAAATTACATAACGATAACGATAAGAACACTGTGTTTAGTACCTCGTGTATTTTACAAATCAATGTTCTATACATAGGGTGATACTATACGTAGTCATCTTTCTATCAATGCAAATAAATAAATACGAAATTAATGATATTACTATTCTTCTTCAAATTAAAAGTACAGACGAGAATAATTATAGGTTCTCAAATTTAGGGAATGTGAGTTGCGAGTTTCAAGGGCATAGACTACGAGCTTCAGGTGGTTGCGAAAGCGTTTTCAACTTATCGGGAATTTCAAGGAATTGTACAGACATTCCTAGTTGGAAATGCCATTCGATATCTACAAGAATTACAATAAATTTATTAATAAGTAGCTTTTAATCTTAAATGTAGTACGTAGCGGTTAGTAATACTTACGACAATGAAACATCCATACTCCTGGATTATCGGCAACAAAGCGAATAACCAACCAACCTGCCGAAGGGACAACAGCGGTGTCACGTTTAATGGCAGTTACTGTGTTTAGAGTTGAAACTCCTTGTTGATATGTCTCGTTTTGGCCAACTCCTAATACCCAGAAATTATGTCCATGCTACATACATATCATGTAAAAATAAGCCAAGTAAATAAAGGCATTTGATTTGAAAGACAAAAGTAAAAAGAAATAATTACCAAATGGAAAGGATGATCTCCTGGGAGTAAATCTGAATAGCGATAGCGATAACGATAATGATAACGATAACAATCGATTAATTAATTAACGATTGACATAAATTAATTACAACACACACAATACATACTTTGAATCACAACTTGTATGACTTCGCCAAGTTTATTGAATGTATAAAGATTTTGATTGGGATTAATAGCCGAAAGATTGTAATTATTATAGACTTTATTGATGATAGGATTATTCTCGTCATGGACAAAGCTTGAATTATTGATAAAGAAGCGAACTCTTTTTTGCTCATCTGGATGAACATCGAGGAATAATGACAAAGAGGTTCCAACTGGGGATGGTATAAGTTCGGGGTTAAGTGGTTTAAGAGTATTAGGATTCAAGTCGATGCAATGTTCGAGAGCGTCAGTCCATGGTTTAGTTGTTGGATCGACATTCTCTTTGGCACCTTCATAGTGAACAATCGCATTGAATTTCGGATCTAGATTAACGGGTGGTTGGAAATAGCATTGAACGTCGATTTCTCCTCGCATCCAGAAATTATCGGCTGCTTGATTTGCAATGACAACTACGGAGACACGTTGGCCGGCGTGAACTGGAACTCTGTGAGCTTGCTGGAATTTGATGTCAAAACCATCGGTTTCAATGATATTTAGATCGTGATTATCGATTGAGAAGAAAATCAACGCTTGAGCACTAGTATTAAAAAAATCAATTAGTTTTATTTAAGGAAAAAATTTCTACGAAGTATAAATTTTACCTGGTATTGATTAAACGAAGACGATATCGCTTTCCTCGTTGGAATTTGAATTTAGCATAACCCGCATTAGCAGTACATTTCGATCCAGCAGGAGCTTTGGTACAATTATAATTGTTTCGACCGTTGATCAAACCATTGTCTGGACTGGGCTAGTAATAGAATAAAAAATGCTTCAAAAAAAAGCAAGCAAAATAATAATATTGAGAAATAAATAATACCTCTCTGAAACCAGCATCAAACGGCAACTGTAGAATTCCAAGATTAGTTGATACTTCATCGTGGTGATAGTCGGTCAAGAGCACCGTGAATTCTTCGTCGTATAATGATAAATATGGGTCAGCTGGATCATGAACGATAAATGATCCAGCGATCCCATCGACGTATTGTGCAATATAATGAGAGTGCCTATTATAAAAAAGAATGCAAAAATCCTGAATCAAATTCTCTTTATATTTTTAAGCAAATGAGAAGTTGTTTTATTTACCACCAATAAGTTCCTGGATCGGGTGTCTTAAAGTCATAAGTTAATGACTTTCCATTTGGAATAGCACATCCAGTCACACCGACCGAACCATCATACCATGGAGTTCCTACTTGTTTTATGCCGTGCCAATGAATTGAAGTCTCTTGATCACCCAGATTATTAGTGACTTTCACTTTTACTTGATCATTTTTGAAGGCGACAATAGGTGGACCTGGAAATTGGCCATTAACAGTCCATATTCTTCGGCTGAAACCGTCCGGAGCAAGAGTGACTTTCTTCACATCAAAGTTATATTCTCGTACTTGTGGTGAGCTGGGAGCTTTTGGTTTAGGCGTTCCCACGATATAGTCATCACCACTGACTAATCGTGACGAAACGAGCAGGAAAAGGGAAACAAATAGATTATTTTTCAGGATTCTCATTATGTTTGAAGCGCAATTGGAACATGCAGCAAAGAAAGAATCTCTCTTACCAGAGAGCGAATCTTTTATACTTTGTGCTTTTCGAATTCGACAAAACGCATTAACAAAAAATTTCTTTTTTTAGATTTACCCGCTGCAAAAAGCAGTGGAATTATTTTACAATCTATAATCTTTCGAGATAGCATTTTTAGGTTATTTGTTGGCGATCTCTCGATGGTGGTTTGAAATATCAAATTACATGTAGTATGCTGCAAAGGAACTTATTGTATTGTATTGGCGCATTAATGTATTATATTAAAAGTTTTCCATATATATCTTTATATAATATGACTACATGTACGTATATGTATATAAAATATCCAATAAAATTCTCTAATTATGTAGATGTGAATGATAATTCACCTAATCGAATGAATTACTGTACATGTAATTTCTTTAACTATTATTATACATGTATAAACGACGATTGAAAGAATTCCTTGACCGTGTTCTAAACAACCCTCTAGATCGTTAATCATTGAACTGTCAAGTTTTCCTTTTTTGCCAACTCGTTGACTGCGCAAATTTTGCCTCTGCTTGTTACTTCAACTACCGCTGTTGTGAGTCTATGTATAACGATAATACATAGGAGAATTATGAAACCATAACAATAAGTACGTATTTGTTTGGAATTATCAACAATACATGATTTAAATTTTGTAACTGTAACGATAAACTTCTTAATTAAGAAAATTAATCATTTGAATAATTTACGTATTTGTGATACACAAATTACATGTATACATAACGATAACGGTAATTCCAAAATCTCTAATCCCGGAGATATACCACCAATATTTATATAGCTATTGACAGCCCAATCAAAAAACTAGCGCAAGTTACGTACATATATAATGATAACAATAATGGATAGATTGAGATGTTTTGCGAAGTTTTATCATGGTGGCACTTGTTTTTGTCTGAATATTTTGCCAATTATAGCGCGAGCGACTATTTAAAATATAAACAAAAGTTTCCAAAAAAAATAATCTTTTTATTACAATATTAGTCGTTATGACTTAAAATTATATATCTCTCTAAAAACAAAATGACAATGACAAAAAACCTTTATGAACCGTCAGCCTACGACATATATATCCCTACAGAGTTTATATTTTGAGTTCCGTGAAATACGGTGGAACACTTCGGAATACACTAAAAAAAAAAGCGAAGAAATATAGCATTTATTTATGTGAAAGTTAATTCGAAAATGAATGCTATTAAAATTACCTGCGAAACATAATAATCTGTCCGAATTGTATTCCGATTAGCCCTTCAAAAACATCAAATACCATAAAGAACATTCTGACTTTATCCTCTTTTCGATATAGATTTCGAAAGACAGTTAACCCCGCTTCGATGATGACGAGTAACGTAAGCGAGAGAACGACTATCGTGAACTAAATATAAACAATATGCAATTAACCACTTCCTTTCAATAGAAATTAGCAAAAATGCCAAAAGTACTTGCGTGTTTAGAAACGTCCGAAATCTTTTGTAGTCGATACTCATCTCCATATAACACGCGTTCTCTCAGCCGAACAAGATAAACTTTTAATATGGTGTGTAATTTCAACCAAAACGACCAAAGCACTGTCAGAAACAGTATCGTCCAAGTGCTCCATATTGCCGTGTTCCATTTTGCCATGATTTTTGCTGCTGTCAGATTTCGTTCCATCAAGTATTCGCCTTTAATCCATCGTATGGGAAGAATGGTAATCACTGGCCCGATAAGAAAGATGAACCCGATTGTGTCGATGAGGTATTTGTTGTATATTATTGATTCTTTAGAGAGAGATTCATCGGCGCTTGAGGAGGAGTATACTTTAAATTTCGAGTTAAACATTATTGTCAAACTGTGGACGTTTTCTTATGCACAACATTAAAAAGAAATGTGATATTTACATAAACCAATTGGATACAGTGTTGCCAAAGAAAATCCAACAATGAAGGGAAGATGTCCTCCGACTATTGTTTAAAAATATAGAATTTCAGTTTATTTGATATAACAATTGAAAAAATAATATCGATATTACCTAACGCCCAGCTTGTATTTGGATATAAATTTGCTAGCAAACAGATGGCATCAATTATCGTGACTGAAATTAATGCACAAAAATAAAATATTAAAATCGAGTTCGTAAGTCATATTTTTCGAGTGAGGTTTTTTTTGGGAAAACAAAATGATTTTTTGAGCATACTTAAAGCAAAAGAAACTGCACAAATTTGAAAAGCCTCTAATGGTCGAAATCGTAAAATCCCTCGTCTCCGTGAAAGAGGAAACCGCAACAACCGACATTGGAAAACAATTCGATAGTATGATAATGCCAGCGAAGTTAACAATATGATAGAGGCATAAATTAGAGCGACTATATAGACATATCGTGCTTTTGGATGTACACTACATCCTTGGAGTTTATTATTAACTATTCCCGGAAAATCGCATTCATCTGATACCCACACTGTTGGTGGTGCACTGTTATCGTTATCTAGTGTTAAATTGGTAGTAGTTGCCATTTTTTCAACGAATGTTTTTTATTCTTGTTATTATATTTGGCAAAAATATCAAATAGACAAATTCAAGAGTAAAGAGAAAAACATCAAATAAACTTGTGAAGAAGTCGAAAATCAAAACCTGTCACTAATATATGAAAGTGGAAGAAAATAAACAAATTTGTCACACACCCATCCATTTTTATGTTTGCTTGTGATCGTTATGAGCATACGTCGAGTTAACGCGCGTTTTACTGAATATCTAACGGCTAACGCTACCTCAGGAATAGATAATAAATGACATTGTACAAATATTTAGGTAGCGTTAGTAAGTATAGAATAAAAAAACTTGTTTATTATTAATAGGTGAACCTTTAAAGGTTTGGATTTTCACTTGTTGCCATATACGTAGTGTGGGCACTGGATACAATAACGTGTTACATGTATTACATGTACATGTATATCGAGATCGAAAAAATAAATACTATCGCTATGAAAGCTTATTACAGTAATGAGCTCGGGGAAGGAGATTTTGTGTTATTGTAACGAGATGTTATCTTAAAGAGTTTTACTGTATCCAGTGCCACTGTATATCGATATGGTTATTGTTATGGTAAATTTTTTGTCAGAGATCACGCAATGTACATGTATATTGATCACGTTTTTGATATTTTATTTAATAAATGAAAGTATATTCGAGTTCGTAAAGTAGAACGGTCTTTTCGATACTTGATAAATAAAAGTAAATTTTTTCGTTTCAAAGCTCATAAGTCTAAACCATGTTAGTTTGTTCCATTTCAAAATTGGAAATCGACTGATTTTTCGTAGAATCACTTTCGAAGCTTCCTTCCAACTTTATCTCCGGCGCTCTTATTAATTCGCGTTGATCGCGACGCGAGCGTGATGCGATCTTCCAAACGACATAGGTGGACCATATTTGAGTGCCAAAGAGTACTAGTCCGCCAGCTGGATAGACCACATTGAACCCGGTAATTAGAGGCTCATGGTCTTAAGAAATAGTAACGAGTTAAAAATGATGTTCGTGGGATCAATCAATAATAATAAGTGTTATTAAAAGTTAATCTTACCTTTGTTTGGAAGCACGTAAGTTCCTGTGAAATTATCGATATAGATTAATAATGATGTTAAATCTAGTAGATAAATATTCGGAACTTGACTTGCCCCAATATACGTAGCACCAAATGAGCGCCCCGAATTTAACGGCAAATACTTGGAAAACCGAGAAAAATAGCACCCAAGATGACCACGATCGCAAAACTCGGTAGAAAAGCAATCCGATAAATGTCGATTGTTCGGTACTCGCTTGGAACAAGAGAATCAATGCTTGTGCGTAGAGATCGATGTTTTCACTATAGTTACAAATAAAAACAAACTAGTTTATTTTATTATGCCAAAGCCCCCGTAATTGATTAAATCATGTATAGGTTTTATAGCAAAAATATCAATTCTAACAACAGACCAGTTTGTCACGATAAAAGAACCATAAATGACGAGAAAGATGGTAGTAAAATGATGCATGACTAAAGGAATGCGCATCACAGGCCGATAAAGTAATTCGAAAATATATCTATTATCAAAATTTAAAGATCAGAGAGGCTTCTTCTTTTAAGCAACAACATTTAATCTTCAAAGAAAGAATAGCTTACAAGTCGATAAGAATAACTCCAATGATTTGTGCAACTTGGTAATCACGGTAATTAAAATCACGTGTCATCAATCGATAACATGATAACTGCAATCCTAATGCAATAGTCGTCCAGATAATTTCCAGGACATAAGTTGTACAGTTTTTCACATGATACAAAGAGAGATTCGGATTAATGTATCTTCTTATTATGCGTTCGCATGTTTTCGACATGAGGTACAGAGCGAGGAAGTAAATGACGTGATTTGTTGTGAATAAAGACCAAGTCGTTCCATTTGCTATTAGACAAAATATATCAAAACAGAATAAGTGTTAAAATATGACGATTACGTACTTGCATCGACTAATTGGTATTTTTTCCTGTGATTTAATCAATTGCCAACAAAAAAAAAAACATACGAATTTCTTCACGCCATTTTTGCACCTCTGATAATTGCTTGGACGTTAAATCAGTTGAGTGTGGAATTTTTGATAAAGCAGCGGAAGGAGACATGTTTTTTCAAGTAATTAATTTTTGATTAAGAAATTATTCTTTTAATTTTCAAGTTTCAATACTCATAATTGACCAATATTTTCAACTATTTATATTATTTGGAAATTCGTAATGCCAAGAATGATTTGGCTACAAGGAATTGGGCAGAATCATGAGCAAAAGAGTGATGCAGTGATATATATATTGACAAAATCATAAACTATGATTTCATCAGCTTAGATCGTTGAATCATCAAGTGCATAACTCTTTTTGCCTCCTAAAAGGCGTTTTTTACTATTCAGTGCGCCTAAATTTTATCTAAATGTGTTTTGAATAGTTTGATTATGTGTGATTGTAATTGCTTGTTATCACTATTAGTTTAAAAATTTAGATAAACAATTTCAACGAGTACTTTTAAATAAAATTGTTTTTCATAGCACACAAATATAAATATATTGGTTTACTATAGTGCAAGTCATCTATAGATTAAATCCTGTAAATACAAAATTCAATCCGCAAATATCCCTTAAACCGTCCATAAATTTATATCTAATATATTTTAAAAAAATTTTTTTGATATTAACCTTAATATATTTTAAAAAAATTTTTTTGATATTAACCTTAATTATATATTATATAATAGTTATTTTAACAATTATAAAAAAATATAGTTGTCTATAAGTTAAAAATAACCAATTTTAAAAATATTTTATAATAAAATTACAGAATTGATTACAAAATAAATCAAATATTTTGAGCAATTTATAAATACAAATTTTAGGTTATATTGATTAAAATAAGCTATATTTTTATTTTAGCTTAGAAAGGGGGGGGGGTGGGTTAAACTTATAAAATTAGGAGTAAATGTACAAAAATAAGCTAAAAAAAAAATTAGCGGCCCGCTGGACGAGTTTAAGGGATAATGATTAAACTTTCTTGATCATATTTATATAATTTAATCTATAGATGATTTACACAATATTTACATTTTTTTAATTTCTTCATTCAATCTACGAGTACATGTATGTATCTAGTGTTTTGGGCGAAACTACCGTTCCGGCGGAAAGTAATGGCAGCCAGTTTTTTATTATATTTCATTCAATTGTATAGCAAAATTAAAAAAATTTATTTTGATGACTTTGAGTAGAGAATTATGCCTCTAAAATATCAGTACTTGATGTGATCTCTTTCCATGTCAATGCAAGTTTGAATAAAATTTAATGTTCTAAATTTTGTTAGTTGAACGTTTTTTAACTAAAAAAAAAAAAAACTAAAAAACGCAATAATTCAATAAAGATTATCCCGATTAAAATGAAATTGCTACCAAAATGTTCGTCTTATTAAGATGAATTTAATAAGACCAAAATTATAAAATTCTGATAACGGTTATTGAGAAGATAAGTTTTAAAAAATTTACAAACCTGCAATCGGGAAAATGACTTGCCATGAGGTGCTCCAATTAGATTTTCGCAAATTCATCACATTTTTTTTTAATTGTTATTAGCTTGCTAGAAATCTAGCACATTATTTATATATTTTTGCTTCTATAGTAAAATTCACATACGTACTATCTCACCGCCATTACTTTCCGCCGGAACTGTAATTTGATCTACAAAGTGCTTCCAAATTAGGGGTGGCTAAAGCCTGGTGAATGTTTATCACAGTGTTAAAGGTTGATTTATTAGCGTTAGGATTAGGGTTAAGTTAAGAGTGGAATATATGTAAAATTGCCTCCCGACGTTTTTAATTGCTCCAAGATAGATTAAAGCATACATTTTCCATATTTTTCATTTTACGTTCGTGCTTCGGATTTGTTTCCGGTTTGATCAAATTTTACGCATTCTTATTGGCTTGTTTCTCGGACAGATAACCGGATCCACCAGGCTTTAGCCATCCCCAAATTAGGGTTTCGGATAGTTTCGGGCTTATAGAGCGAAAATGATGTTTAATTCCATCCACTATATTTTTCTCCGATGGTATAACTGTCTCCAAATAATTCACTAGGTTCTGGCAAAGCTTCAATTTCTAATAAGCATTCTGAAAGAATATATCCACTTTAGATGAGTATTTGATATTTTGTTCATCCCATCCACTTTTAGTCCTGGATAAAGTTGCACAATCTTAATGAATAGTTGATCAGCAAGTTATTGAATTTCTTCTGACAAATAAATATAAGACATTGTTGGATAAGAAAGTCCACTGGGCAAAACGTTTCGGATTTTGAAAAATAGTTTCGTCCGAAACACTATGTATCTAAGTTTCTATTAAATGTAAACATCGTTCTTGTCGCGTGATTTTTCCTCGGAACCACTTATGAGGACAAGAAATTATTCTTCAAAAAGCAAATTGATCAATTTATTTTGCATATAATCATAAAAATCATTCACTTACGATATACAGTGAAAATGTGTTTACTCCACAAATAAATATATATTTCATGACAATTCTTTCTTGAGCATACAAGAATCAATTAAACTGATGGTTTGCATAGGAAACCATTTTTATTTTATTATCAGCTGTCGATAGAAGACCAACGATCGGAAAGGTAACTTTTAAAACGTCTCTTCTGATCAATTCCGGAATTCTGGACCTAAATTGTCAGATGACTAAACTAACTAAAACGGGCTTTATTGTTATATCCTGGGATGGCAACGATCCGTGCTGATCTTAGTGTGGGAACAATTTTTATTTTTACATATTGTTCATAATGACGTATTGAGTATGATTACATCACCGAAACGTCATGTGCTTGGCGTTACTATTCGAATACGTATATATAGAGCAGTCATTTCGACCAGGAGTCTTTAAATTCTAAAAACCCAGATTAATTTCAAATCACTATTCTACAATACTGAAGTAATCATCAAAAAAAAATGAATCGTAATCGGACATCACCAGAACAAATTCACAACAGCGAATCTCAAACCACAAAATCCGATGAAGCATCATCTAATCCACGTTTGAATGCTGTCAAAGAAAAAATTTCGGATGTTGTGCATACAACAGCACAAATATTGAACATTGAACCTCACCAAAGGCATCCAGAAGCTTATCATCAGGACGGTAAAACTGGTCCTGAATAATTCAATATTGAGATGTATAAATGAGCGGCATTAAAACTGACTGGACTTTTGGACATTGCAATCTACTTAAATATTGCAATCTGTAGTTTTGGTTTTAAATCCCAGATTCAGAGAATAAGATTTTTTCAAAGTTATAGTCAAAATAGTTTTATTAACATGTTACTGAACATTCTAAATGTTTTATTCATTGCATTTTCAAATCATACTCATTTGAAATCAACAAGTTAAAAACTATCAATTCGTACAACTGTCATTTAATATTATGGTGAATTGTGAATATTTTGGTGCATTGTGCATCAATGTTTACAAATCTGCGTTCATTCCTAGTATTGGACCCTTTTATGGATCATCTTGTTGATTCTGTTAACGTTAAGTGTCAATTTGATGAACATATACATGTATATACGCCATCTATCTTTGTGTGAAAATCTTCACTTTTTGTTATAATTTAAAAAGGCAATACGTAATTACGTAATCAGATAATACAAATAGGGTTGGGTAATTCCGTACATATACATGTAAATACAAGTTAATAATATGTACAAGTTATAATATATTTATAAATTAATTGTGAATAACAATACATAACATTCGAATTAACGTTTCCTTTGACGGCTCACTACTGTAATCAACTCTGGATAATACAGAAAGATCTAAACCACTAATGGTATGTACGTATTGTATTATTGTATTGATTAGAAAAGGAGAGTACAGTTGTTTGTCAAGGTTAGTGCTAATTTTTTTTTATTAAATACGTAGTTCCAGGTATAGATTGATTTTGACAGAATCTCATCCATATCGATATGACGTTATTGCTAAAAACAGTAAAAAAGATATCAATATCATCAATAAAAAACATGATGATAATATTCTGTTCTTTATGCATAAGAGAGTTCGCATTAGCATCGACGGTAAACTCCAAAGGTAGTCCAAGTAGTAGTGCTAAAGGTTTCGTTAGTTCCAAATCAAGTAACAATTGGGTGTTTTGGTATTATTATTATAATGGCTCAGGATACAACCGTAGATGTGGAAATTTTTGTATTTTGACATTTATTCTTATCGGGTTAATTCTTTTTATGATGATTGCATGTGGGTGCTATCGATGTTTTAGAATTTATCATCGATCAAAAAAAGAGGATACTGACAATACATTTTAAACAAGTGATCTTGCATTTTTATCTAATATAAATAAATTTAGCTTTTTTTCACCCAAGAATTAACAAATCTTTATAATTATAATATAACTGAGGAATAGACGAAATATATGTGTTTCGAAATACCGTTGTTTGTTTGAAAGTTTAAATTGAATTGTGTTGGATTGTCACTCAAATTCTGATAACTTTCTCGATTTTATTTTCAAATACAAGATTGATTACAAATATGATTAATTATTCTATTATAACGTTCAAGCTTCATTGTATTAAGAATCCTATCTTATCGCAATTTGTATTATTTTATTTAATAATATCGGAAAACGGCGGTTCTGTGAACAATCATATTATTTTTGAATTATATGTATCATTTTGTAAGAGATAAAAAATGACACCAATTGATGATACCAGTGCCAAGAAGACATGTTTTGTACAATTGCAATAATGCGTATTGCTAAAAAGATAATAAAGACGGAATTCGACATCCACAGAATAAATAATACATTAAAATAAACCGATTGTCAAGTTTCAATATAAAAGTGAGTTTTCTAGTAAATCAAACAACTCTACGTAAAATTCTATTCTGCTGTTAAAATTATTATGGATCAAGAAACCATAGACTTCTCCACAGTACCTTTAGATCTTTTAAATCAAATAACAGTTCTTAAGAAATCCACTAGTGATAAAGCCTTTTTTATCCCATTTTTTATAGAAACGAGAGCGGATTATATATATATTTATGCAAATAAAGTTAATGTAAGAATAGCTTCAAAAGCCAACACTATATTTATCATTATTACCTATATTACATATAAACTTTGATCTACATATTTACATATATTCGGAAATCATGTGATTAAATCATCATGTGATCGGAAACGCCTTACCTACATCCTGTCTAACTCGGTATATGTAAAATCAATATCTTGTTTGTTTATTTTCTAATGATAATCAATATCATGTGATAATTTTTCTTTCATTACATGGGGGAGGGGTACAAATAACAAAAATGGGGGATATGAATAATAAATTTATCATAAAAATATATTAAGTTCTTAATTTACATACTTTAATAATAAAATTACTAATTTTAATTTCTTCTTTATTTCTAAATTCAAAATATTATTTTACAAGATAATATTCAAATAAAAATTATTATTTTATTTATTTTCAAATTCTCAAAAGTATTTATTAAATTTTAATTATCTCAATTTTGTTATTTTGTTATAAAGATAGCTCTTTTATTTATGTAACTTAAAGAATGGACAAGTGGAAATCTGCCAATTGATAATTTAATTAAAAGTACTCAACTTGAAGCTAGACATCCCAATGATAAATTTCTTGAATGGACACCTTATGAAAAACTTACTGATTTTTGGAAAATTAGAGAAGGTGGATTTGGAGAGGTATATTCCGCAATTTGGTCTCATTACGGAAATAAAAACTGTCAATGCGATAGTACATTTATTTTTTAATTTTTTTTAACATAAATTTATAATAATTTTTATTTTAATTTATAAATAAAAGACTCAAATACATTATAAATTTTAAAAGGAGGGGGGAATTTTATTCGATTATATGGAATTACTCAAGATCTGAAACCAGAGATTATATGATGGTAATGCAATATGCTGAAAGGGGGGGTGGTTCAAGAGATTACTCATTACTATAACACGCGCCACCTCTTTCATAGCTTCTGCAACACTGAGCAAAAGCTTTCCAGTTTTCGCTTCCACCTTTTTCATTTCCAGTGCCACCACGCCACCTACACAAAGGCCATGCGTCCCATTGATAAAAAGTTCCTCTCATACAACCGTATGTTCTATCACAAAAATTATTGTCATTTCTACATCCTTCACTCAGCTCTGTTACACAAAAATAATGTGTAAAGCCAGCATTTACAATCCCACACAAGTATAGTAGAAGGCAGGCAAGATGAATAACCTTCATGGTAGATGGAAAGTGATAGAAATTTTATTACAAATTAAAAATGCGGCTGGAATTTTTTTTTAAATCATTTATTTGGATAGATGTAAGAAATGGAGGTCAAAACAGATCTTTTTAAATACCTTTTGGTGATTCATGAGTTACTGCATACAGTCACAAGATTTAACTTGAAACTGTCGAAAGATTTTTATTATTATTTGATAGTAAGTCAGTTATTTTGATTTTATTATTATTTGATAGTAAGTTAGTTATTTTGATTTTCTCATGAATTGATGAATCTAGATAATGCATGATTCGGCGAAGTGGAACCGGGACATGGGGAACTGGGACATGAGAAATCAGGATGAATTATATAACTAATAAATCTAAATTAAAGTTTTTAAATATAAAAAAATATCATCAGAAATAAAATATACCAGTTAATAGAATTAACAATCGTACATGCCAAGTAAAAAAAAAGAAGTATTTGTATATAATAATTTTATATCGTAAAAAATATAAATAAATGTTTATATGAAAACCAAATACGTATGCGTACGCATACGTATCGATATCTTTGGTCTTTGATTGAATTGTATGCTTGATTATGCAATTGATAAAGATATTAATATTTTCTACTTGTTTATAGATCTAATACCCATTAAGTTCCATAAATGGGTATCACTATAGAGATAGTTAAAAAAGTCAAAAACATGACATTACTATAAATGGGTGTTACTATTACCTTTCGTTATAGAATTTGTTGAAAAAATCTTAAGTCAAAATCTGACAGTAACCATAATTGGGTGTCACTATAGAGATTTTTGAAGTTCTATAACGATAACGATAATGGCATGTTTCTTTTTAGCATCGATTTGCGCATATATACATGTCTATCGCTATCGCTAATAACGGTAATAGCGATATCATATTAATTATCACGCACTACTCCAATCATGCGCATCATGCAATGTGCATGCACGGAACCACTCAAAATGCGCATTTTGCCCATCTTTCTAAGCTTATAATTGTATACCACTTATATTACAAAATTCTATAGAAGCTATTAAACCTTTATATAATGCCTTACGTAAATATTCCTCTCCTTGCTGCTTTTCCTCTTCGGAACCATTTCGATACCAATATATTTGACCAATATTGAACATAGCTTTAATATTTCCGTTATCTGCAGTAAGCTTATAATATTTAATGGCTTCCTCGACGTTTCTTTTCACATTATAGCCATTCCAAATCATATGTCCATATAGAAGTTGCGCATCAATTAAACCTGATTCAGCACTTTCCTTAAAATATTGAGCAACACGCTACCTTTCATCTTTAAAATTATCCGGTTCAAGTGGTCGCTCTTACGGCATTATTCCATATATGGCGCCAGAACTGTTTGAACGTAAACCACATACCCAGGCATCTGATATTTATTCATTTGGCATGCTAATGTGGGAAATATTATCAAGTGAACAACCATTTATGGACAGAGAACATGATGTCGACCTTAGAGCAAAAAGGTTTGCGGTCAGATATTGTCCCTGAAACTCCTTCATGTTATGTAGACTTCATGAAAAGATGCTGGGATACTGACCCTTCAAAGAGGCCTACGGCAGATAAGATATGTAGGATTGTAAATCCCTGGCATAAGGGATTCCGTCAACAAACTAATATAAACAAAACATTCCCAACCGATATAATGAGTTTTGTCATTGCTGATGAACAGTGTTGTTACTGGAAGCCACTGGAAGCCCACCGGAAAGTCACTGGAAATAAAATTAATATTGACTGGAACGCTACTGGAAGATTCCAGTCATCAAAAAATCTATTAAAAGTATAAACTAATTATCAATATGTTATCCTTATATTACATTGTATAAAGTTATCTAGTTAATTTCAATAAATTTTTAATTTTCACTCTCACTGGAATGTTCCAGTGACAACACTGCTGATGAATATGATCGAGTGTATAAACAATAATGTAGTAACTAGCGACGAGTTACTGCTCAAGATATCTCCTGCTGACTTTCAGGAATAATCCTGAATAAATCAAGTTTAAAATGTTGCAGATGTGGCATAATCAAAAATAAAGAGATTATTTGTATTAATGAATTATATTTTATTAAAAGCTAAAGTAATCAAATCTATTATTTTTTATATTGTGCAGGAAACCCTTTTTTTACCGGTTCTAGATCTTGATAAATTAAAAAATAAGAATTAATAATATATATTATATTTAAATTAAAGTAATTAATATTACCTAGATGACTTCGTCTTGAATTTTTCAATTTTTCTTTAAATCTTTGAGATTTTTCTTTAGATCTTTGAGATCCAATTGTAATAAAAGAATAATTTTGTGGCAATTTAATTTTTTTAACATTATTTTTATCATCATCATCATTATCATCATCAGTAGTAGTAGTAGTGGTGGTGGTGATGGTATTATCCATGTTGACATTTACATCTAAATCCAAGTTGCAATCAAAAAATAGAGAACCAAATATTCGATTTTGTTTAATAACAGTGGCGTGTATAAAAAATACAACACTATGTCTAACACCTGCAATAACCGGAAGATTTCCATGTATTAAAATATGTGATCAGAAAGCAATCGCTTGACCTTGTTTAGCATGAATGATTAACTTTAGCTCTGGAAAAACTAGTTCACCACCTTCAAATGAACTGAGAGAACATACTACACAAAGTTGTATTACAATGATCTTTTTGATCCTGATGAAATTGAGAAATAACATTATAATTTATTGCTATTAAAGGAAAAGCTCCAAAAGATTTTGGAACATTTGGACCAAGGTCGAGTTTCTTCATTTTGTTATATAAAATAGGATACGTGTCTTAAAAGTAATCATTAATCATATTTGACAATGATTGAAGACCTTGTATTAAATTTCTAACACATATTTGATGATTTTGAGAATGAGATGCAACTGTATTAGCTGTCGTATAAGGTTCATTATTATTGGCTGTGAAGGAACAAAATGCTCTGCAAATTCTTTTCAAAACTCTTTTGACTGATGTGATTTATTGTTAAGTGTATGATGATAATATTGATCCTCTATTATATTTGCTTCTTTTGCTGCCTCAAGATTAGTTAGATTAAAAAAATTCACCATGGTTTTGTCAAATGCATTTTTAAAGCATTGCAGTTTAAAAACATGATAATAACCTTTGAGATTAATATCATTTGCGACTTTCTTTGTTGTTTCTGTTGCAATATAAAGCTTATCTTTCTGATTTCGTTGAAGTGTTACTGGAATGTCATATTTCTCTAAGAGCATTTTTTGAGTCTCCATATCTTGATATGCATGCAATGTTTTTGACCATAAGCGTCAGCAATGATTATGAAATCTCTTTCTCATATTTGAACCATTAGAAAAACAAGCCCAAGAGACAAATTGTTCTCATTGTTGTTTTGCTGTAAAACTTTGATTCGTGGATTCAGTTGCAGATTCAGTTGCGGATTCAGTTGTTACTTTAGTCATGGATTCAGTTATTACTTCAGTCGTGGATTCAGTTGTTACTTCAGTCGTGAATTCAGTTGTGACTTTAGTTATAGAACTTGAACTTGTTGATTTAGTTGGATTGAATATTTCTAATTCTAATAAATTCATAAATTTAATTGGAATTTCTGAAGTAGTTGAGTTTGATTGAATATCTTTTTTGTATAACTCTTTTTCGATCGCGTTTGGGAAGAGTTTATTTTTTAGCCGTTAAATAACAAAAACATAATTACTTATTCCATTATTTACACAAGCTGATTTTTTGATTTTTCAGAACTTAGAGACTTTATGAAACTTAAGTTCATTTTATAAACACTTATCATTATATGTTGAATAAAATAGATTATTTTATAGAATTTACGTATTGTATATATAATTATCTAGTCGCAGTACAAAAAAACAAAACAAACTGATGAGAAGCAATACTTATGATATATTAAATCTTTAACATTAGCGTTAAGATTATGAAAAATTAAATGTATCATTTATATTAACTTTAATAAATTATATTGGAGATATCTATATTATCTATATATAAAAGTAAAAGACAGATGATCATGCTAATGTCATCCCATTTTAGTGGGTCATGTGCGCATTTCTTCATCATATTTAGAACCACGC